TTTGGGGGAAAAGAAAAAAACCTTTTAAAAAAATCCCCCACGGTGAACAAAAAAACCTTCCCCAAACCCTCTTAAAATTGAACATACCCGGGAAAACCTTTTCAACCTCCCAACTCTTAAAACCCCCCATGAAAAGTCCCACCTGGGTTTGGTCCCGGGGAAAAAAAAAAGAAAAGCCAAAAAAAGGGGGGGAACCCCCAAAATTTTTTTAAAAAAATTCAAAATTTTTCCCAAAAAACGAAAAAGTTTTAAATAAAATAAAGAATAAAGTTTAAAAAAAAAATTTTTTCCCCCAATTTTCCCCATCTTTTTTTCTTTTTTCTTCCTAAAAAAAAATCTTTAAAAAAATTTCCCATTTCCCCCCCCTTCCCCCCCCTTTTTTTTTTTTTGAAAAGGGGGGAAAAAACGAAAAAAAGTTTCCTTGCGTTTTAATGAAATCTGATGGAAAAAACCCCTTTTGGGGCCCCCCAAAAGGAAGAAACCCCCCGGGGCCCTGCTCGGGGGGCCAGGGAACGGGGCCAAAAAGGCCCCGGGTGCAAAATTTCCTACTCGGAGCCCCAAAAAGGGGGGTTTAAGGAAGGCGATAGCAGATCCAGCGAGAGAGAGGCAAGAGGAGCGATCTCTCAATAGCTCTGCTCCCTCCCCTTCCTCTCCTACCTCTCCCCTCCTCCTCTCTGCTCTCTCTCTCTCCCTCAGCTCCTCGTACTCGTCTCCCTACTCTCGCTCTCCCTCCCTCATCTCCTTCCGCCCCTCTCGTATCTCTCCCTCTCATCGTCTCTCTACGGGAGCTGTCGGCGCTTTTCCAGAGAGAGAGAGAGAGAGAAAGAGACTGACTGACTCTGTGATCCCATGAGCGTTCCATGAACGTAAATTAGTAAATTCTGTAACTTAGTCAGCAATGAATAAAGAGAGAAGAGTAATACCTCATACTGGTGTGATGTCATGACCATACACACACACACCACAACCTTTTTTCAAATACCCACACACTCTCTCTCTACACACACGCGTGCACACACATGACAGAGTGAGTGTCATCTCTCCACCTCCCTCTGTATTGGATTTATAGTTGGCTTCCCCCTCTGTCATGCGCTCACACTTGGAGAAGAAACATGATCCTCTTACTGGGTCTCTAGGTAGCTGAAAATGCCAAGAGAAATAGCTACAATTATCATATCCCTATGGTACTGCAAAATGTGTTACTATATACTGCCATTTTCCCAAAATATACTGTAATAATAGATTTTCATAATAATATGTAATAATATGTTAATTATATTATGTTGTAATTGTGTTATAATAATATAATTTAGTTTTATCAACCTGCAGTGGGTAAGGCACAATCTATATTTTAATCTATTTTATCTATAACAGGTAAAACATAATCTTAAAGCTGAAATCCGCATAAGTTGAAACAGCGCCACTGTCCGCCGCAGCGCATTTGTTATTGTTTTTGTTGAAATGGAGGAGAGGAGCATCCACCATCGTGAAAACATTTATTGTAGTATACTCTGCTGTTTTATCGCACATGCAATGATGTGCAATGTTATCCAATGATGTCAGAGGGACAAAAACTGTGTTCGTTGTTTGAAGTAACTTCTTTGTTTTTGTAATATCGCAAACGGACATGGCAGTTTCACCAAGTATGGATTCCAGCTTTATATTAAAATGCCAGCAGCATACCACCCTGCATCCCACTGCTGGCTTGCCTCTGAAGCTAAGCAAGGTTGGTCCTGGATGGGAGACCAGATGCTGCAGGAAGTGGTGTTGGAGGGCCAGTAGGAGGAACTCTTTCATCTGGACAAAAAATATATATAAGGCAGTGATTGGGGACATTGCCCTGTGCAGGGTGCCGTCTTTCGGATGTGATGCTAAACGTGTCCTGACTCTCTGTGGTCACTAAAGATCCCATGGCACTTATCGTAAGAGTAGTGGTGTTAATCTGGTGTCCTGGCTAAATTCCCAATCTGGCCCTCATACCATCATGGCCACCTAATCATCCCCAGCTTCCAATTGGATCATTCATCTCCTCTTCTCTGTAACTATTCCCCAGGTCATTGCTGTAAATGAGAATGTGTCAATTTACCTGGTGATAAAAAATAACTGCGTTGTAGGTTTGCTACTAACCCTCTAATTAATGATTTTGCAGCAGCCACCCAAGAGATGAGTCTGACTTTGAAAATGACCTGGTTTGTGCATGTGTGTGAAGCATTTTGTGGGAAGCGGAGTGTACATGGGAATTGCTGTGTGTGCCAGTGTGTATGTCTGTGTGCAGGTACGTGAGCTACGCGTCTGTGTGTCTGAGTGTGTGATTCATTCTGAGCAGGTGTGAGTGAGCGTGTATGGCGTTGTAAACAGTGCCATATGCGAGTAGGTGGGATCGGAAGCATGGCACAAGGCCTCTGGCAGACGAGGGGGAGGCGTAGCACACCGATGCCCAAGAAGGGGCGAGGTGGGCTGGCCTGGAACACACCCCTCAGCCCCTCTGCCTGGAGGTGTGAAAAACTCATTGAATGCCCTATAGACATCCCAACACCCAGGCGAGTAAGAAAACCAGCAGTGACATATACACTGCTCAAAAAAATAAAGGGAACACTTAAACAACACAATGTAACTCCAAGTCAATCACACTTCTGTGAAATCAAACTGTCCACTTAGGAAGCAACACTGATTGACAATAAATTTCACATGCTGTTGTGCAAATGGAATAGACAACAGGTTGAAATTATAGGCAATTAGCAAGACACCCCCAATAAAGGACTGGTTTTGCAGGTGGTGACCACAGACCACTTCTCAGTTCCTATGCTTCCTGGCTGATGTTTTGGTCACTTTTGAATGCTGGCAGTGCTTTCACTCTAGTGGTAGCATGAGACGGAGTCTACAACCCACAAGTGGCTCAGGTAGTGCAGCTCATCCAGGATGGCACATCAACGTGAGCTGTGACAAGAAGGTTTGCTGTGTCTGTCAGCGTAGTGTCCAGAGCATGGAGGCGCTACCAGGAGACAGGCCAGTACATCAGGAGACGTGGAGGAGGCCGTAGGAGGGCAACAACCCAGCAGCAGGACTGCTACCTCCGCCTTTGTGCAAGGAGGAGCAGGAGGAGCACTGCCAGAGCCCTGCAAAATCACCTCCAGCAGGCCACAAATGTGCATGTGTCTGCTCAAACGGTCAGAAACAGACTCCATGAGGGTGGTATGAGGGCCTGACGTCCACAGGTGGGGGTTGTGCTTACAGCCCAACACCGTGCAGGACGTTTGGCATTTGCCAGAGAACACCAAGATTGGCAAATTTGCCACTGGCGCCCTGTGCTCTTCACAGATGAAAGCAGGTTCACACTGAGCACGTGACAGATGTGACAGAGTCTGAGACGCCGTGGAGAACGTTCTGCTGCCTGCAACATCCTCCAGCATGACCGGTTTGGCGGTGGGTCAGTCATGGTGTGGGGTGGCATTTCTTTGGGGGGCCGCACAGCCCTCCATGTGCTCGCCAGAGGTAGCCTGACTGCCATTAGGTACCGAGATGAGATCCTCAGACCCCTTGTGAGACCATATGCTGGTGCGGTTGGCCCTGGGTTCCTCCTAATGCAAGACAATGCTAGACCTCATTTGGCTGGAGTGTGTCAGCAGTTCCTGCAAGAGGAAGGCATTGATGCTATGGACTGACCTGAATCCAATTGAGCACATCTGGGACATCATGTCTCGCTCCATCCACCAACGCCACGTTGCACCACAGACTGTCCAGGAGTTGGCGGATGCTTTAGTCCAGGTCTGGGAGGAGATCCCTCAGGAGACCATCCGCCACCTCATCAGGAGCATGCCCAGGCGTTGTAGGGAGGTCATACAGGCACGTGGAGGCCACACACACTACTGAGCCTCATTTTGACTTGTTTTAAGGACATTACATCAAAGTTGGATCAGCCTGTAGTGTGGTTTTCCACTTTAATTTTGAGGGTGACTCCAAACCCAGATCTCCATGGGTTGATCAATTTGATTTCCATTGATAATTTTTGTGTGATTTTGTTGTCAGCACATTCAACTATGTAAAGAAAAAATTATTTAATGAGATTATTTCATTCATTCAGATCTAGGATGTGTTATTTTAGTGTTCCCTTAATTTTTTTGAGCAGTGTATAATGAACTATATAATGCAGCTGCTGCTAGTGCAGCATCGCCATGTTCAAGACAGCCACAGTAACACGGTTGTCACTAGTAAATACAGCCACAAAGTTACAATTATGGCTAAACCCCGCCCATTTCTACAGTTTATCTTCTTAAAATCTGATTTGAAAACCTAACCCTAACCTTAACCACACTGCTAACCTTATGCCTAACCTTAAATTACAACCAAAAAGCTAATTTGTATACCCAATTTTGACTTTGTGGCTATGGAATCTGACTTTGTGGCTGTTCTAATTGAAACCCAGCAACACCCAGGGGGATGATATAATCAGTTTCCACTCTGACCCCTAACACCCAGATGCCAGTGACCCTGTTCCTTAGCAACTGCCTTGAGTCTCCTGGCAACTATGGCTGGGAGGCCAAGATTTTGCCATTTTAAAGCTGTGACTCCAGTTTCAACATGCAGAGGAGTGAGAAATGGATTTGCAAGCAATCATGTAGCATGTTAGACCACACCAGGATGTAGAACCAACTGTTTTTGTTAGTGATTTATTGACAAGCCCATACAGTTATTAAGAGGCTCTGAACTTCACACATATTAATTAGTTTTATTGGGTCTTTGAAATACCCATTTATCTTTGGAATAAGTTTGAGTATATTAACTTAAAAATGGCCATTATGAATTTGGTTAAAGTTTGAATGATTGTTCTTCCTTGCTCAATAATTATCCAAACTGTTTACATCACAGATGAAATTGAAAGAAAGAAGCCATTTTAGCCGTCAACAAATTAATGGAGATTATTTTAATGAAAGCATAATACACGTATGTAAACCAATTAACCAATCAGGCAATCACGAAACAGCTAATCAACACAATTGACCAATAGAAGAATGGATAGAGGCGGTCCCAGTACTCACACTGCCCAGGTTGACCTCTCTCTTTCCGCCTCTGGAGAACTGGCTGGTCAGATGGTAGATCATGGTCCGCCCCCGCTTCCTGGCCTCGCTGAAGTGAGAGCTGCCACTCTTCCTGCTCCGCCTCTTGTCCTCTGAAACTGTCAATCACACAGTCATCTCCATGATGACTTCTATCTGTTTTTTAACATGCTTGTGTCATGTCACAAAACAATACAAGTCTACAGCTCGGTGTCTATATGATTTATCTATTTAAACAATATCTTTGAAGATAACAAAATGTCTGCCCAACGGCATCATAAACCTAACTATCTGATCAAATGTGTCAATGACAAACAGGGGAACATTGTGGAGATGAAAGCGGAGGGAAAAACGATGGTAAATCATAAATCACATCCAAACCAAAGGAAAATCGTTTTTGGCGAGAGCGATTTGAGGTTTGGCCTACCTTCTTTCTTGTGATGCACTTTGCCGTGTATGTCAGTGATGTCCTTGAATGAGAAGAGGAATAGGACCATCTCCCCCTTCTCATTCTTTATGGGCACAACGTCCAGTAGGCACCAGAAAGAGGTCCCTGAAACAAACAAACCAATAAACATTTATTTAGAAAAAAATAAGTAAACAAATCTATTTAGGACATGATCCATGAGCTTCCTTACATCATTACATGTAATGAACAAATAAATAAATGAATGAAAAATGAAAAATGATACTGCAAAAAATGACATTGGTAAGATAAAAAAGGGTACTGCTGGCAGTAACAGTGATAAAGCAGATAAAGGTTCAGAGCATTGTCCTTAAGAAAAAGCTTTTGCAACCGATTGCTCGTGTTGGCTAGCTAAACTCTCTTGGTCTCCTTGGACAGGGAGAGTTGAAACCATGCAATAGATGTCTAATGTTAAGGCTGAGTTTAGCCAAAGTAGCAATGCAGGGTCTCGTCTGTAGACACCCAGACTATCAACAAACTGCCCATTTGTTGTATGTAGTATGGTGCTGATTTCAAATACTTTCTCAGTGCTTGACTGAGTGTGCCTGGTTTAATGGACTAATAGAGTAGTCCCAAACGGCAAACCCCACCCATATAGCTCCAAGCAAACGCTCAAAGTATTTGAAAGATTTCAAATAGTAGTTGAACCCAGGTCTGCGTCTATGCTCGCGGGCCGTCTCAATCATCGCAATAGAATCTCTTTAACAGACATCCCCATTAAATAGAATATAATTATATTTCTATGGTCTCACTCTCACCGTTCTTCTTGTAGAAGTGGACCTCGGTCTGGTACTCCTCTCGTCCCTCCAGGGCCTTCTCCATCTGCTGTGCCACGTGCTCGCTGGTGTCGTTGCCATACAGGAAGCGGCAGCTGCACTTCTTCTGCATCACTTCGGTGCGCGCGAAGCCCGTCAGCTCGCAGAAGCCGTCCGAGCAGTAGACGATGGAGTAGCCGCGGTGGCCCTGCGCGTTGCCCAGCAGGAAGTTGCTGTCTGTGGGGTCGAGGAAGAGAACGAGAATGATTGTTGATTAGGAGTGTTTGGAAATAACTGTTTGGTTCTTGCATGGGCTATATAGACTTACAGTAATAGGCAGGCCTATGCATGGCTAATAGGTAGCCATGCCTGGCAGACCACCAAGCACCAGCCCATCTGACATAAGACAATGCTCTTCTTGCCCTTTCATTCTATCCACACCTCACTCTCCATCTACCCCCTTTCTGTTTCCCTTTCTTTCTCTCCATCTCATCAGCACCATGGACAGCGTCAGCCTGAACAGTACAATGGCAGTCTCGCAGAGTGCTAGTGCTGTATTCACACACTATGGCTAAATTCCAATCATCTTTCTGTCTGCAAGTCTGCACTTGTTCACTACTCCCCACCAATGCAAAAGCATTGGATTGTTGTATGCATGGGCAAGAGGGACCAGTCATTTACCTTCAAATCCATGAAGGAAATTAACAAGTGCACATTTATTGGGACACACCCTCTATTCGTTTAGCTATGCCTGCAGGCTCTACCACCACAGATTACCAAACACCAATCCCTCTGCCCAGGGGATCAACACATTCCTGTACATGTAGGGATCACAAAACAATATGTTCACATATGCCCAGTGGCAACAGACAGTCTCTCCTCCCTTATTCCAAAGAATCAAATAACTGTGCACTGTAAGCAGTTTGTGGTGTGGAAAAGCAACAGTCATGTACACCGTGACTGTGTCTGGCACAACTGGCATTTACAGTGCCTTCGGAAAGTATTCAGACCCCTTGACCTTTTCCACATTTTGTTACGTTACAGCCTTATTCTAAAATTGATTAAATAAATATAAATCCTCAGCAATCTACACACAATACCCTATAATGAAAAAGCGAAAACAGGTTAGAGAAATTCTGCACATTTATAAAAAATTAAAAAACAGAAATACCTTATTTACATAAGTATTCAGACCCTTTGCTATGAGACACGAAATTGAGCTCAGGTGCATCCTGTTTCCATTGATCATCCTTTAGATGTTTCTACAACTTCATTGGACATGATTTGGAAAGGCACACACCCGTCTACATAAGGTCCCACAGTTGACAATGCATGTCAGAGCAAAAACCAAGCCATGAGGTCGAAGGAATTGTCCGTAGAGCTCCAAGGCACAGATTTGGGGAAGGGTACCAAAAAATGTCTGCAGCATTGAAGGTCCCCAAGAACACAGTGGCCTCCATCATTCTTAAATGGAAGAAGTTTGTAACCACCAAGACTCTTCCTAAAGCTGGCCGCCCGGCCAAACTGAGCAATCGGGGGAGAAGGGCCTTGGTCAGGGAGGTGACCAAGAACCCGATGGTCACTCTAACAGAGCTCCAGTGTCCCTCTGTGGAGATGGGAAAACCTTCCAGAAGGACAACCATCTCTGCAGCACTCCACCAATCAGGCCTTTATGGTACAGTGGCCAGACGGAAGCCACTCCTCGGTAAAAGGCACGACAGCCCGCTTGGAATTTGCCAAAAGGCACCTAGAGACTCTCGAACCATGAGAAACAAGATTCTCTGGTCTGATGAAACCAAGATTGAACTCTTTGGCCTGAATGCCAAGCGTCACGTCTTGAGGAAACCAGACACCGCTCATCACCTGGCCAATACCATCCCTACGGCGAAGCATGGTGGTGGCAGCATTATGCTGTGGGGATGTTTTTCATCAGCAGGGACTGGGAGACTAGTCAGGATCGAGGCAAAGATGAACGGAGCAAAGTACAGGGAGATCCTTGATGAAAACCTGCTCCAGAGCGCTCAGGACCTCAGACTGGGGCGAAGGTTCACCTTCCAACAGGACAACGACCCTAAGCACACAGCCAAGACAACGCAGGAATTGAACCTGATCAAACATCTCTGGAGAGACCTGAAAATAGCTATGCAGCAACGCTCCCCATCCAACCTGACAGAGCTTGAGAGGATCTGCAGAGAAGAATGGGAGAAACTCCCCAAATACAGGTGTGCCAAGCTTGTAGCGTCATACCCAAGAAGAGGTTGTAATCGCTGCCAAAGGTGCTTCAACAAAGTACTGAGTAAAGGGTCTGAATACTTATGTAAATGTGATATTTCAGTTTTTTATTTTGTATACATTCGCTAACATTTCTAAAAACCTGTTTTTGCTTTGTCATTATGGGGTATTGTGTGTAGATTTATGAGGGGGGGGGGGGGGGGGGGGTGTTAACAATGTAATACATTTTAGAATAAGGCTGTAACCAAATAAAATGTGGAAAGATTCAAGGGGTCTGAATACTTTCCGAAGGCACTGTACATAATTTAACTATCTCAGTGTTGAAGTAAGGGCAGTGATTTGGATTTATTCTTTAGGTCATTGAGGAGGAGGGCTACAATGTTTCCAATGTAAATACATTCAAGTTAAAGACTGAATCAAGGCAAGCTTGACACACACCACCAGCCATTAAAAATTCCAGAGGGAGTAGGCTACACTCGGAGGAGGAGTGCAAGAGCACGACGAAAGAGAGCTAAGCAGCTGACGACACGCTTTAGAAAAACTAGCGCTTTAATTGCCTGTCCCCGACAGTCAGGAAGCCATCCACTGGGGATTTTTCAAAGTGGTGACAGCCTTCACGGGTGTGCAGTGAGCGGCAACAAACCCGCCACAGAGGAATTACATAAAGAGAAGCAGTCAGCAGCCACCGGATCCACCGCCCTGACACCGGCAGTCAATGGAAGTTTTGTGGCGCACGTTTCCTGGCAAGCTGTGTCTTGAGAACCTGACACTTGATTGGCTATTTATGGCCATTTGTGAAAGAGTCTGAGTTGGTGGATTGAAGTGGTTAATTATGAGGACATGCTGACTGTCAATGTTTTATCGTTTTGTAGCTATAAATGTAACAAAACTGCACCTCACCAAACAAGTTCAAAGAGTGTCAAACAATGAGCGTATACTGAAGCACTGCCAATAACTCCTGAGGTCTAGAGAGAAACGCTGACAACGTAACAAATACTGTAGGCCTCCCTGTCCTTTTTACATGCTACCTTGTAGTCCTAACTGTGAAACACTATATACATCTAGCAAAGTAGGCCTATAGCTTACAGTTTATTTTGACCATTTTTTTGGGTTAAGGTTTTTGCTCAACTCAACCCTTTACATCTCCAGCTTATGCAATATGGTCTAACAATACATGCAATAACTCTAGTCAGCAGTATCCCTATATTGTCTCCCAAGTGGGTCAAGGGTACCCCATAAATCACAGTGTAAGAATATCTCGGCACCAAAATGTTGAGCTATTCTGTACTGTAATGTATTTTTCATTCTCTGATACTAACTAACCATGTTCACTTGCGCTGTCATCTTTAGTGTCAGATTTGCAACTTTTTCATTGATGCAACTGCCCCAATTTAATAAATTGTAAATACAGGAAAACCACACTGCTGGTTCAGTCCGAATGTTAATGCTGTTAAACCCAACACACCCCACAAGTTCCTCTTGTGGATTTTGTCATTGGGTATTGACACAGATATTGACCTGAACACACCTATCCTTAAAATCACAGCACAGAATAAAGATTCTGAGTGAACCCACATTGTGGTTGTCTTTTAGCTGTGATAGATTGAATTGAGCCTGTTGGAGTATTTTTTGAATCCAAACGTATACTTTTGTTGTATTGTTTGCTAGCTGGCTAGCTAGTTCTCATTGACCACCAATGTTGCTAATGCTAGCTAGCTAGTTAATATAACTTGTTTTCTCCAAATGTTTGTTAGCTAGCTAAGTTATATTATGAATATAACTAATCTGCTGTCGACATCATGATACATTTTGAGAGCACTAGTTAGCTCCAAAAGTGGTTTGTAGCTTTGACTGCATGCTGACAGTGCATGCAAAGCATCCAGTGGCTAGTCCCACTACAAAAATAATTTTACCAGGTTCCTGTGAAGCAATTGTAATGACAGCCCAAAACAACATACCCGAGAGTCTCCTTATCAGCAAGGTGTGTTTAATTTAATTATGTATTAAAAACAAGATTGAGGTCATTTTGAGGGGTTTTCTTCAGTGGTTTGAATGAGGAATTGGGCTGCCCGGGAAAATGTTGTCCGAGTTTGCAACAGTAAGGCGAAGGGTCAATTGTTGTCAATAAAGGCTTTGTGTTTCAAGCTTAAAATGTGTTAAGCCTGACAGTGTATGCCGCTATCTCATGTCTGAAAATATCAAATTACTTCACTACTAAGCTTCTTGAGAACTAATATACTGTAGGCTACAGTGTGGTTATCTCGAAGATCACTGCCAAGGCTGGGAAAAGAGGCAGTAGTTGCCTTACAACAGAGAGGGGCCATTTTGAAGTCTGATAGAAGCACACTGACAAAACACCCAAAACATAGTAGAGTACAGCATAAGTGCACAATGTGCATCATCAATTGACGAAAACATGCTTGTGTGTGTGTGTGTGCATGTGTGGGTGAGCGTGTTTGTGTGTATACAGTGCTGTGAAAAAATATTCACCCCCTTTCTGGTTTTCTAAATTTGTTGCATATTTTTTATACCAAATCAGATCTTCAACCAAAACCTAATATTAGATAAAGGGAACCTGCGTTTACAAATGACACAAAAATATATTTACTTACTTCATTTATTTAATTAACAAAGTTATGGAACACCCAATTCCCCTGTGTGGAAAAGTAATTGCCCCCTTACACTCAACAACTGGTTGTGCCACCTTTAGCTGCAATGACTGCAACCAAATGCTTTCTGTAGTTGTTGATCAGTCTCTCACATGGAGGAATTTTGTCCCACTCTTTCATGCAGAACTGCTTTAACTCAGCAACATTTGTGGGTTTTCAAGCATGAACTTCCTCAATATCTCAATTGGGATTAGGTCTGAACTTTGATTCCAAAACTTCAAGTTTGTGCTTTTTAACTATTTACTTGTAGACTTGATTGTGTGTTTTGGATCATTGTCTTGCTGCATGACCCAGCTGCGCTTCAGCTTCAGCTCACAGACGGATGGCCTGACAT